GCTGAGTACTGTTTTTGCCGGCAGTGGTCGTAATTACATTTCTGAAAAACATTGGTTGTAAACGCATCCTATGTGGGTCACTCCATACTAAACTGTACAATTCACTGTGTTGTATAAGAATGGTCAATACATTTTTTTCTAGGAGAATTAAATGATTTTGTTCATTGTTCATATTTATTCACATTGGCCCAGCCAAGGATTGAAAATATACATAAGAAAAAAAATCAGAGTCATTGGTCCAATAACGGTTTCAATTGTCTGCACTAAATTATCGGGACTCGTCTGATCAGAAATGCAATTTGAAATGACCGTCGTGGGCGTAACCAGTCGCGGCTTCATGTGTTACGTCCATCCCTGTGGGTTAATTTGCATAATATATGCAAATAGCGTAAAGATGACCTTGGCAAAATAACTCACTTCCTACCTCAAAATTTCACAAGGCGTCAGACAATCATATATGCCATGCTTTTAAAAGTAATGAAAATTTTTCCGTGCCCTAATATTGTGTTACGCCCATAAAAACAAAAACAATCTGTGCGCTATCACCATAGACTGTATAAAAAGATGGAGGCAGCGCCCGGGTCTGAAAAGTGAGACCAATGCGAATTTTGAATTCCATTTAATGGCCAGCAGATGGCGACGTCGGTGGCTGCAGAATTGGAAAAGGCGTATTTGAATTTTCATCACCATTGTAACACATTTGTTCAGTTTAGTATAGAATGAGCCGTGTATGAGTGCCACAGATGCAGGCCACTGTTATAGTCACTTTAAATGCTGGTGCATTCATGAGCTCCAAACTACATGTATAAGAGAAACGTCACACAGCGCGTGTCCGTGTGGCTCCGGAAATAAGGCCCGATGTAGGCATGCTGTGCCATCGAGCAATTTCCACTGAAATGAATGGGCGGCCATTTTGGCATTCAGTATCCAGAGCTTTTAAAACCTCTTCCACCCTCAGAAAATGCTTGAAAATAATATGCCCAAAAAGGAAATGAGTATATCTTTGCAATTGCCAAGTCCATTTGAATAATCTTGGCATTATAATGAAGGTAACACCTTGGGGATTTTTGTCTTGGTGTAAAAATTAATTAATTTAATTTATTTAACCAGGGAAGTCCCGTTGAGATTGAAATCTCTTTTTCAAGGGTGCCCTGGGGGTAGAGGTGGAGAGGGAAAGGAATTGCACAGCCAAGTACATCATGATTAGGTGGCAGGTAAAAAGAGCCAGGTTGGGAATTTAGCCATGACAACAGGGAACCCCCTACTCTTGTCGATAAGCATCACAGGGTCTTAAATGACCACAGTGAGTCGTGACCTCGGTTTAATGTTGCATCCAAAGGACAGCATCTCTTTCAACACAGTGTCCCCATCACTGCACTGGGGATTATTCCACCAGAGGGAAGATCGCAAGCTACTGGCCACCAGCACCTCTTCCAGCAGCAACTTGGTTTTCCCCAGTGGTCTCCCACAACTAACCAATCCCACAACTGCTCAGCTTCAGCCACGCATCTGGAGCAGATCAAATAGTGGTAAAGCTGCTGGCTTGCCACCCAGTAATCAGTATATACGTCACTGAGTCAGAGTAAATGAAAATGGAACACAGCATGGATGAAAGATTTTATTTCTGCTCAACAAAAGAGGCAGAATATCCCTTTAGAAATTATGCAGTTGCAGTTTGAAGCATCTGAAAACATTACAGCACAATATCTTACAATTATCTGTGCCAAAGTTTATTGTAATCAAGGAAATTAGAGCAAAATTAGAGAGGTTTTAGCTCTCACCTATCGAGGTGACTTTCTAAATTGGCAATCTGGGAATCTTTTTGGACTTTGTATGTCATTTGAGATTTCTCAGGTACCGAACTGAAAAACTCATTCAATTTCACTTACAGCTGCAATCAAAATTATTCAACCCCCATTGCAAATTGGGTTTAATGGCTAAATTTACAAACTTTCTGCTGTTTGTGATAAACAGATTAAACAAGAACATTTTAAATAGCTCAACACAACTAATATTACAAGTGGTTTCTCCCAATTTTACCCAAAATGCCATTTTTAATGACTACTACAGTCTCAAAATTATTCAACACCCCGAACAGAATCCCTCATAAGAGCATATTTGCAGATCAGGTGTTGTCTTAAGCACACCTAATGCAGCTAATCAAGAGCTTAATCAGCTGCATCAGGTTTGCTTGAGATAGAACACATCAAATACTTGCACTCGCTAGGGGTTTGTTGACAGTGACATTTGATTGCATATTAGAAATATGGCTGTCAGGAGAATTGTCCAACAAGCTAATAGAGGAGATCATTGCCTGGCACAAACAAAGAAAAGGATACAAAAAGGTAGCACAGGCACTAAATTTTCAGAGATACAGCTGGAAGCATAATTCGCAAGTTCAGAGTTAAAGGAAGAGTGGCTGCAGTACCAGGATGTGGCAGAAAGAGGAAGCTATCAATGGCTGTCACCAGATTCCTGAGGAGACGGGTGGTCAAAAACCCTCGACTGATGCAGGAGACCTGCAGCAAGACTTAGAGACAGGAGGCATTGAAGTTTCAGTTGCACACTAGGGCGCATACTAAATGTTGAAGGTCTCCATGCCTGAACTCCAAGACATACACCACAACTGATCCAAAAACACAAGCTCCAATATGCTCAAAACCATATAAATAAGCCACAGAAGTTTGGGGATATTGTTCTGAGGAGTGATGAAACAAAACTGGAATATTTTGGGCTTATGAATCAGTGGTATGTCTGCATGAGGAATAAAGAAGCATATGCTGAAAAGTACACCCTGCCTACAGTGAAGAATTGTGGGGGCTTTTTGATGCTCTGCGGCTGCCTTGCTTCCTCTGGCACTGGAAATCTGCAAATTGTGGAGGGCAAGATGGATTCAGTCAAGTACCAGGATATCCAAGGAGAAAATGTCATGCCGTCTGTAGGGAAGCTGATGCTTGGGCATCATTGGACCTTCTAAAAGGACAATGATCCTAAGCATACCTCAACATCCACTAAGGCTTGGTTTCAGAAGTCATCCGGGAAGATTCTAGAGTGCCCATCACAGTCGCCTCACTAAAACCCCAAAAAAAATCTCTGGTAGGATTTGAAGAACACAGTTGCAGCATCCAAACCCTAGAATATTAACGAACTGGAGGCCATTTTCCATGAAGACAGGGCTCAGATTCCTAGAGAATGCTGCCAGAAGCTGTTGTCTGCCTATGCATCATATTTCCAGCAGGTCATAGTGGCTCAAAGGGTGCTCTACTAAGTATTAAAGATGCTTGTCATGAAGAGGGTTGAATAATTTTGAGCCTGCAGTAGTCATTGAAAGTGGCATTTTGTGTTGAATTTGGAGAAGCCACCTGTAGTATTTGTTGTGTTGAGCCATTTAAATTGTTCTTGTTTGATTTGTTCATTGCAAACAGCTGAAAGTGTGCAAATTTTGCTAGTAAACCTAATTTGCAACGGGGGTTGAATAATTTTTATTGCAACTGTATATGTCACCACAGGCGCACAATCCATCTAATTAAAACCATTTTAGTTTTCATTTCTTAATTTAGAATTTTTTTTATTGCAACCAGTACTGTATACATTTTCCCATTAAAAGAAATGTCAGAAATGCAAAATTAATTTTTGAATGTGTTTCAGCTCGCTTCCATTACATACTCAGCACCATTAAAAACGCACAGGTGAGGTATGTACTGTATTTGCGGCAAATTGAAGAATCGATTGATTTTTATTGCTTTTCCAGTGAGGCGCAAGAGGAAATAACGAAAAGCACGTGGTATTGTAATCCTGACGCGCACCATGTGCATGCGCCAAGCACTTCAGTAATAACAAACATTGAGTTGTTTGTGATGTGCACAGTGACACTTGACTTGTTCTTTTTAGTGTGGTCAATAGCCTACATAAAGCCAACAAAAAAAAAAACGAAAAATGCTACTGCATCAAGAAAATGGAACGGCTTGTGACACAGGAGAGAGAAAAAGAGCCTTTGGCATGTTACGGGCAGGTCTCAGCCGCCGAGAGGTGGTGCGTCATTTGCACTGTCACTGTTCAACAATCAGTCGGCTGTCTATCCGAGAATGGAACACAGGCACTGTCACTGACCGACCCCGCTTAGGGCAGCCACGAGTGACGATGGCAGCTCAAGAGCGCCACATCTGGTTACAGCCTGTGCGTGACAGATTCCAGACAGCAACCCAAACTGATCGTGAGATGAGGGGTCCGAGACGATTGAGGGTGAGCGCAAGTACTGTTTCACTCCGTCTATGTGAGCAACACATGCGTGCACACGGGCCCTACAGAAAACCCAGTTTTTACCCATTTACACATGGCTGCCCTTACAATGGTCGGTCAGTGACAGTCCCTGTTTTCCATTCTCAGACAGAAACAGGGAAATAAAGCGTCAAAAAATGACACAGAGGCAGGTGCCCACAGTCAGAAGTGAAGAGTTCCTACTCCTGTTGATGGGCAAAAAATGGGTTTTCTGTAGGGGCCGTGTGCACGCATGTTTTGCTCACGTAGAAAGCGTCAAACGGTACTTGCGCTCACCCTCAATCGTTTCAGACCCCTCATCTCATGATCAGTTTTGGTTGCTATCCGGAATCAGTCAGCAATGACATTTTGCAGGTCTTGTAAAACAATGGCAATTGAACCTTATCTTAATTTCAGCAATGACCCTGCAGCTGTCCTTGCTTTCACTACTCCTGGGACAAGCAAAACTAATGATGCATAGTGTTAGTTGACTTTGACTTCAAACTAAAATTGAGACATTGCTTGCTGTTCATCATTGCTGTCAATGCCAGGGGTCCTGGCGGGCTTCAGTGCTCCAGCAGTAGGGGTCAGAGGGAATACATGTCAGAGCAATCCTCTGAGATAAAGGCAGCGAAGAGTATCTTCTGTTCAGAAACACACAGTATTGCACAATTGACTCCATGTCCTAGATTGCCTCGGCAGTGAATGCAGGAGCACGCCTGTCGGGGCACAAACGGCAAGGCTGGAGAACACGGGCATCGATCCCGCTTCCTCTCGCATGCTAAGCGCGCGCTCTACCATTTGAGCTAATTCCCCAAGCTTGATTGGGGGAAATATTACAGATGAATTTCCTCAATTTCGAGTGAAAATTCTGATTGGTCTCTGAGTCCTTGCAAATTTTTATTCTTTTTCTTTTTGTATTTGGACAGGGCTTCTCCGTCATTTTTACCCTCAAAGCATGGACAGATGCTTGATATGACAGCCAACGACGAGGAGAATACACAAAATGTTTGGGGTGGAACATGGTTGCGCCAACATTACATTGCAAGTTTCTGCATTCATCTTTCGAGGACAGGATTAAGCAGTGCCAACAGAAACTTCAGCTCAAATTCAGCATTGTGAATGATTTTATCTCGGACGATGCAAGCTGGATGTAGAAAGCGTGTGAGGAATGACTCAAGGTCTTTGATGCCATATGTATATAAAATAAACTTGCAAGACTACGTTGGGACAAGTAACGAGGGAGAGCAAAACTTTATTTAGCTATGGGAGTAATAAAAAAGTGCAAAGCATCATGGAAATAGACAAGACCACCGCACTGTGTTTTGTGGGATGGAAATAAATCATGGCTCCATCTTGACCATGAAATGGTACCAAATGAGAAACTGCCGTGAGGGCACTGTTTGAGCTTTTCATGCGGCAGCTGTGGTAGTTCACTCACTTGGTATGAGCCATGCGATAACTGAATCTCAGGGGGCACTCTTGATGGTTTGCTGAAGGATGAATGATTTTACTATATGCAGGTAATCAAACTGCTCAAAATAGCCCAAAATTTCCTCAGAGAAGACGGATTTTGGAGAAAATGCTGCCTTCGCACAGATTTATACCGTTTGGAGGTATCAGAGAATGCAAAGCAACTTTGCTGAAATAGCTCAGTTGCGAGAGCGTTAGACTGAAGATCTAAAGGTCCCTGGTTCAATCCTGAGTTTCGGCAGTATGAGGGCCCTCTCTCGATACTCTCAGATGTTGTGTTCATCTTTGGTGAATTCAAGATAGTGCTATGAAAGTCTGCTGATACTCCCTTCAGCTATCCATACAATTCAAACACTGTAGTAAAAAGGCATTGACAATTGCATCAAAGTGTGAGCAGACTTGAGTGAAACTACCTTTGCTGCTTGTAAATACTAGCCAACCATTGTGGAATTCCATGATCTTCCCTTTCAGGTGTCATAATAAGAATACTTTCTTACCAATAACGGTGGCCATTTTAAGCTCCCTTGAGATCCCAACAACTCTATGACATCGTCCATTTAACTGTTTTTAATTCTATGGAGCTGACATCATGGAAACTGACTGTGCGATCGCATGGAGAAGGTGTCAGTCCTTGGTTCAGAACATCAAAGAGACCCTTAACAATACTTTAAAGCGCGTGCATTTTAAAACTAGACAGCTGTTTCTGAAAAATTAACCTGAAAAACCATGAGGCTTCAATTAAAGGACTAGTATAACTAAACCTGACCATGTGACCTAATACATATGGCAAATAAAGGATAAGTTATATAACTTCGCTGCAGAATTTGAATAATCAAAAAAAGACGTCATATGCTCTAATTTCCAAAAACGTTTCTTCAACCTCGATTGGATAACGTCATGAGGTAAAGGAGAGGTGCTTGTTAATACGACCTGGTAGCTGTTTCGTCAGAAGAAACCAGACAAAGCACTGGGAACGTTTTGTTTTTGATAATAAAGCAATTCAGTCGTATGATGTAACCTAATATGAAGGGCACCTAATGGATAAACTCCTGACATCGGATCTGAAGACTAAGGACCTTAGTCCCTTCTTGGTTGTTTGACAGTTGTGTTTATATCATTTGCAAGCTGTTTTTCACGGTCCGATACACAGGGCACCTGATTTTGGATCAGGTAATTGAGCATGCCTTGTTCAATAACAGAGCTTTTGAATGTTACATAGTAGTAGTAATGTATGAAAGAAAACTAATAGATGAGGTTTCTGACTTTGAGCCAGAAGATTGAGCATCTGAGTCCCTTCATAAGTGTTTTCCGGTCCTGGTTTGTCATGTTATCTGGCTGCGGTTTTAGAGAGAAGCTTGACAAAACTCACAAAACTACTGTCAAGGGACAAGCAAAACTCAACCTGACCATGTGAACTAATACATCGGGCAAATATTGGATAAGTTAGCTGACTCCCGTATTAAGAATGACAGTTGGAGACCATTCATGGATGTTTAGTGCTGGTGCTTGTTAATGTCACTTGCCAGCTGTTTCTCAGACAAAAACTTTCTTTTAAGCTGGTGCTTGTTAACATGACTTGGTCACTGTTTCTGCAACAGAAACCTGAAACTAACACTCACAAGGCTTTGTTTATGGGAATAACATAAGTCAATCCAATGATGTCACCTAATATGAAAGGGCGTCTAATGGAGGAGGATTCTGACTCCGGATCAAAAGACTGAGGACTTGAGTCCGTTCATAGTTGTGTGACGGAGGTGTTTTTTAACATAATCTTGCTGCTGTTACTTACACTGAAACCTGAGAAAAAAAGTCAGCAAACTTCAGTCAAGGGCTAACATTGCTCATCCTGACCATACGGTCTAAACACCTGAGTTTGGATCTGGAGAGTGATTGAGTATGAGAGTTTTTCAATGACAGGGCTGTTTAATTTAACATGACAGCGGTTATTTGACATGGCATTTATGAACCGCTGTCAGTTCGCAGAGCTCACAATTCGGAGTCAATTTAGCCATGCACTGACCACGTGGCCTAATGGATAAGGCGTCTGACTTTGGATAAGAAGACTGAGGGTTCGAGTCCCTTCATGGTTGCAGTTGTGTATTTAATAGGGACTTTCAGCAATAGCGGATTTTGCAACGCCTATGGCTCCCGGAAATCAATCTCTCCCGACGCTGGTGCTGTCACAGTCAAATCCAGCAGGGACTTTAAACAGCGGTGGATTTTGATCAAAGTTTGTTTGCAAAGTAGTTAGTTCAGTGTGAACAATAATCGTAACTGTAACTTACTGTGAGCCCAAATTTGTCCCACTCCCACTGGCAAAAGGGGCAGATGTCATAGCTTTAGGGGAAATGGGAAACTGTTAATATTAGATTAGAATATTCAAATTTATTGTCATTATGCCAACTGCAGGTACAGAGCATAATGAAAAGAAATGTGCATCTTTTTAATCAACTTTGATTAATTCAATTATAAAAAGACATGAAATTTGACAATTAAAGCACACATCTAATCAGAGTGTTAACGAATGGTAAAGTTCATGGGTGTGTGCATATATATTTATATAAATATATATATATAGAATATGTGTGCTTTATATGCACATCAGTAGAATAAAGACTAATGTACATGGGAGTGTTATGTCCCCAATTTGTTATGGCGTAGCGGACAGCAAGGGATGACAGACAAAATTTTAAAACTTTAACAGATTTAATTAAACAAACACATTGAACTAATCTACAGTCTACTCTACTGACCAAGATTGAAATAAAAAAATGAGATATTTACAGTTGTAAACACCGTGCAACTAGGCCAAGGAGGGTCCTAGCTGAGGCGGAAGGTCTCAGCGTGCTTGCCTTAGCTGCCAGGGAAAAGAAAGTCCCAACAGTCCCCATTATAATAATGGGGTCTGGCTACTGCGTCAGCACCAGACCACTGCCTCAGGCCAAACGTGATGACGTCTTTCACGCTCTGCTTTTGAATGGCCTGAAACGTGTCCAGCGGATGCTGCAGCCCTAATATCTTAGCGGTTACAAAACATCTGACTCCATATTAAATTTAGAACAAAACATTTAGTTTTAATCAATCGCGGTTACCATGCATTTGCATAAATATTGATTTGACTCCAATTCATGAATTTAGAGCTATGTTGTGCATCGGACCCATACTGGTCAATACCTTACTCCGCCGGACCAAAAACATCTGTACCGCCCAACTCGGTGGAGAACTCAGAGGCTGGCGGTCCTATTCTGCCCGGTGGTTTGACATAGAGAATAGCTATGACTAGTGACCACGGGGGCCGGAATTAATGTACAATTAAAACTTTCGAAGTATACCGCAAGAGGCGTCCAGGGATTATATAAAAGTATAACGCAGTAAAACAAAAAAAGAAGGCGTGTAGGGACTCTCAAGTTTAACAACACATCCCTGAAACCAATCAGAATAACACCAATCGCAGCATGGAACACCACCGTGTACCTAGCAGGAAGGCCTGGTGATCAGGCAGGCCTCATAGCCCTACATTATACCCCATTGGGTTACAGGAGTCCGAACTAGAAGAATATTAGTTAGTCAGAGTCAAAGAACCACAACAGAATGCAGAATGTCTCTAGACGCATCAGAATCACCAGACCCATCTGGCTGGCTGAGTAGAGAACTGATAAAAGTGTCTGATAAGTCCTCAAATGGAGAAACCATAGCAGGCTGAACAGAATCATGAGGCGAACCACCTGAGTCATGACTATTCAAGGTGCTGGACGGCACCACATCATCTTCTTCTTGAGCCTTCTTAGCCATAGCACGGGTCACTGCACAGGAAGGATACAGAGATGGGTCTTCATCGCCATCTTCAGTGCTCGGCTGTGAAGTAAGATGAACAGGGGGAACTACATTGCCCCCAGCCAGGTCATTGCCTAGCAACAGAGAAACACCCTTGATAGGTAGACTTGACATAAGTCCCACCTTTTCCTGTCCTGTAACTAAATCAAGAATACAGAGTGCAGGGGTACAGATACAGTCCTCCCTTCAATACCTTGTACAAGTATGAAATCCCCAGAAGCGGTCTCATCACGTAACTCCAAGGAGTTCATCAATAAAAGTGACTGAGAAGCTCTGGATCCCTTAGAATATAAATGGGTACAGGAGGAGAATGCTCATTCAGAGCCACAAATCCCTCTGACACAAATGAAAGAAATTCCTCCCTCACAAAGTCAGCAGTATCAGGAGCAGGCAATTTAGCAGATCGGTCATCTACTACAGGGGTTTCCCTTGTCTTCACAAAGGCATTGGGTTTGGTATCCTTTTCTTTTTCTTTCTTAGCTTTAAGGAACCAACAGTTTTGTAACATG